TAATGACCCTCTGCACAACCAAATGAAAAACTGCTCGCTCCTGTGCCAGCCTCACAATTGTTCCGAGGCTTGAGCCCATGGTTGGCAGCCGTTGTGTCAATCCATCTCGTTGAGGGTCTTCGCTTTCACTGCCTCTCCACTTCACCAAATGTGATGTCCTCCAGGGTCTGGTCTCCCGACAATCTGCAAAGTCTGTAAGACAGAGCCTGCCATCCTAGCCTCTAAGGAGCACTGGCATGCTGCTCCCAAGGCAGATTGGTTCTCTAGCAGTCCATGGTACCTTCAATATTTGTCACCAGCACCACAACCTTTTAAAAATGGCATACATAAAGAACAGAAATAACATGCGAGAAGGGGTCCCATATGCCAGTGCCATCAATCTCTCACGGCGACCAGAGCCAGTACGTGACAGCACCCACTTCCCTCCCCTCCCCTTCCCTCCAGGACCCAAAAGTAACTGCACTGACATGTGGCAAACTCTCAAAAGCCAAACGCTGTGCCATCAAGTGAATTCTGACTCCTAGGACAGGGTAGAACTGCTCCTGTGCTTTCTGAGAGTGTAACTCTACAGGAGTAGAAAGCCTCATCTTTTTCCCGTGGAGTGGCTGGTTTTGAATTACTCACTTTGCAGTTAGCAGCCCAATGCATAACTACTACTACACCAGGCTCTTAAAAAACTCACACCATCAGGTCAATGCCGACTCATAGTCACCTCCTGTGGGTTTGCGAGACTAATGGTTTAAGGGAGTAGGCGGCACAGGTCAATTCCGGAAGCTCGGAAGAATAACCACGTCCAAATGTGTTTCAGACAGGTGACTTGAAGGGCTGGCAGTAGGTGAGCTGAAGAGGACAGGAGAGCCGAGGCTTTCACCCTGGCAGGTGATGCTGGTTCTACCTGAGCCAGGAGCCCCGGACAAGTGATAGACCTGTGCTCTTAGTGTGTGGTGTGGAATAAAGAAATGTTTGATGTCAGAGTGGTCAGGGCCAGGCAGGAAGGGGTGTGTGGGGAGAAGAGCCTAGAGGGAGGAGTTGGCCTTCCCTGGGCCATAAAACAAAACCTCATTGCCATTGAATCGATGCTGACTCGTAGCGGCCCTCCTGTAGGACAGGTAGGACTTCTCTGTGGGTTTCGGAGCCCGTAACTGTTTACGGGAGTAGAAGACCCTATTTTTCTCCCTTTTTTGCACCATATGTAAAGAAATGAAGGCCCAAAGATGGCTTGGCAATAGTACAGATCAGGTGCTCATTATGTCCGACTCCCACTGTGTAACTTTTGTGTGGGAGGGGGCAGGTGTTGACCAAAATTATAGGACAAATGGGAGTCTGAAAGTGGGATCAGAAAACTAGGAAGAGAGCCACGGAGCTGCAAGAGGGCAGCTTGGACCAAGGGGCAATCTCTCCTGGTGGCAGCCTTCTTCCCCAGCCTGGCCTTTCGCTTTGCTGTGCCTGTGACGTCATCAATCACACTATTGATTAAATTCAAGCTCTTGATTCAATTCATCATTGGCGTAATGACAGGTGGACTCGACCTGCAAATGTTTTAACAACTGATGAGAAGTAGGGATAATAATTCACTGTGTGTGTATGGATGTACATAAGATGTCTGTGTATAGGTGCATAGTGTATTCATTTAATGACATCAAATATGTGCAGCACACAACTTATAAATAATAGCAAAATACATGATACTCTACATTCTCAATTCCGTATAACCACCTGATTCTCAGAGAATATTTTTGTTAATTGTCTCTAAACTCTTGTATCTGTTGCAAATCCAGGGTTTTAATTCAACCATAATTGGCAAATATAACCCAAAGCCACTGACCTCTAGTCGATTCCAACTCATATCAGCTCGATGGGACAGAGTAGAACTGCCCCGGGGTTGCTAAGACTGTCCCTCTTGAGGGGAGTAGAGTGCCTCCTCTTGTTCCCTCACAGCGGCTGGACGTTTCAAACCGCCCACCTGACCATGCCATCAGGGTTCCCTTTGGCACATCCAGTAGCATCCGAATCCACTAACTGAATGTATTCTCATTAAATCCCATAGGTGATCGACTGCTAAACTAGGTGATAAATGAAATGTTTTATCCAAAAGTATTTTTAAATGATTGTTACTGCCATTATTGATCATTGCAACTGATGACTTTGCAATGCCAAATGAAGGTTTCAGGAACATTTCCAAACAACTTTGTAGTGAATCCACATTTCTTCTAATTACTGCTTCATCAGAACAACAAAATAATTGTTTTTGAGTATTCATTATTAAAACCACAATAACTTAAGGTAAACAATAATGTAAAAATAATGCATTATCCACTGTGGTAAATACCAGTTTTTGTTTTGTTTTTAATCATTTTATTGGGGGCTTGTACAGCTCTTATCACAATCCATCCATCCATCCATTGTGTCAAGCACATTTGTACATTTGTTGCCATCATCGTTCTCAAAACATTTGCTTTCTACTTGAGCCCTTGGTATCAGCTCAATTTTTTTCTCTTCCCTCCCTCCCCCTTCCTCCCCCATGAACTCTTGATCATTTATAAATTATTTTTTCATGTCTTACACTGACTGATGTCTCCCTTCACCCATTTTTCTGTTGTCCATCCCCCATGGAAGGGGTTATATGTAGATCCTTGTGATTGGTTCCCTCCTCCCCACCCACCCACTCCACCTTACCTTTGCCCTCCTGGTATCACTACTCTCATTTTTGGTCGTGAGGGGTTTATCTGTCTGGGATTCCCTGTGTTTCCAGCTCTTATCTGTACCTGTGTACATGCTCTGGTCTAGCCAGATTTGTAAGGTAGAATTGGAGTCATGATAGTGGGGTGGGGGTGGGGCGGAAGCATTAAAGAACTGCCAGTCGCTTTTTGAAGGTTTCTTAGAAACGTTTTGCTGTTAATTGGGTGAAGGTTTGTAGAGCAGGTCAGTAGCACAGTGGGCTGCAAAGCACAAGGTCACCAGCCGCTCTGTGGGGAAAGATGAGGTTTTCTACTCCAGTAAAGGGTCAACGTCCCAGAAACGCACAGTGGCAGGTCTACCCTGTCCTAATGTCTGTAGGAGTTAAAATCAACTCAGCAGTCAGTTTGGTTTTATCTCAGTTATTGCAACCCCCCAGTATAGCATTACTTATTCCACTTCCTCCTTGAGTTCCCTATATCCATTCCGCCTTCCTTTCTAACCCTGCTGGACTTTTTAAAATGCTGCCTTTTTCATCTCAAATGGTTGTTTATTCCAAGTGCATATCTCATTAGTGTTATTGTTCCCCTTACAGAACTGGCTATGATTTGACTGAAAAATGAGCCACTAGGTTGAGTTCATTTCCAGACCTGAAGGCCTAGTCTTAGGGTTCCCCCTGTCTCTGTCCAACCAGTAAGCCTGATCATTTGTGTGATTTTGAGTTCCCATCTGTTTCTCCTACTCTATCCAGGATCTTCTCATGTGATCCCTTGTAGAGCAGTTGGTAGTGGTAGTTGGGCACCATCTAGTTTTAGTCTCAAGGTCATGGGGACTGATGTTTGACTGAGTCCCCTGGACTATTTCTATGGCTTTTCAAATTTCTTCCCCTTCTTTTCTTGGGACAAGGAGAGGTTATGGTTGCACTTGAGGTGGCTATTCAGGAGCTTGTAAGACACACCAGGTGCTATTTTCCAAAGTGGGATGTAGAACATTCTTTGTGGGCTTTGTTATGCCAATTGACCTTGGTTGCACATAAACTGACTGGTGTAGGTGCTGGCAGAACCGGGCACTGAAATGAGATCATGTTACTTAGTTGTTAGGGTGCAACATTTGCTGTTATTCTGTTATCCCTAAGTATCTTTCTCTTAATTTTTGAGATACGTTTGTTACTCCTACTGTGCTGATTACCTTTCTGATTCTCCTGTGACTTTTTCCCCCTTCAGCGCCAGGCTGAGGAGCCCTGGTGGCACTGTGGGTTGATCATTGAGCTGCTAACCACAAAGTCAACAGTTCAACCCCAGTCCCTGCTTCTAGAGGAAACAATGAGACTGACTGCTTTCCTAAAGGATCAGTTCTGCTCTGTCCTAGAGGGTTGCAATGAGTAGGAATCACCTCAGTGGTGAGCAAATGGAATGTAAAGCCTATTATGATTTACCAAACCACAACCTCAGTCTGTGGTAGCATCAGTATTTTATTTCCTTTATACACCAAACTGGAATTGAACCAATTCTTTTAAAGCCGGTTATTTCACAAATCTTGAACTTTAGTTTTTGTTTCACAAACGGATCATATTCCTTAATTCTTCGCTCAGTAGCCTATTAGCTTATTACCACCATTTGAGTTACTAGGTAAGTGCCATTCTCAGACACTCAGGCATGGGTTTCCCCATCACTCCTAACTGTTTAACTATTCCACAATTCATACATCCGGATTCACCTTCTTTTATTTCAAGGCCGTCGTACATTTGTCAATGCTTGTTTTTCATTCCAACAATTTAGATGCTCAAATGATTTCCTTTGGCTAGCATGATTTTTCTTCAAAGATGGGTTGCCCAGTGGATTAGAAATTTGGTTTTGTTGGTTGACTTTGACGTCCCACAGTGATTTCCGTTCCTACCGTGACTGTGACTTTTTGACATGCAAAAAATACTTCCATCACTATCATTTTGGCGGTTCAGGGGTCAGAATCCGGAATGTGATTTTGCTGCTAGTCAAATCTCCTGACAACCCCCCTTGTGAGGTACAGCGCACAACCCCCGTGGGACTGCCTTGGCTGTCCGCTTCATGAGGACCCTGGGTCCGCGCTCAGCTGCTCACCAGCAGCTCTCGGAGCCGCGGCGAGCAGGACCAGGAGGCCCCGGCGCTGCGGGCGGGACTGGGAGGGCGGCGTCACCGCGCACGACGGCCCGGGGAGCCGAGGGCCGGGCTGGCTGACGTCACTGCGCACGACGCGGGGGCCGGACGCGCTCGCCAGGCAGGCTGAGCGCCGACGAGCGCCGGCAGAGCCCTGCGGCCTGGGCAACCGTGCGGGCGGCGGGGCCCTGACGGCACTGCCGGAGGCCCTTGCGGCCCCCGCCGGCACCATGTTCGGCTCCAGCCGCGGCGGCGTGCGCGGCGGGCAGGACCAGTTCAACTGGGAGGACGTGAAAACGGACAAGCAGCGGGAGAACTACCTGGGCAACTCGCTGATGGCCCCGGTGGGCCGGTGGCAGAAGGGCCGGGACCTCACTTGGTACGCCAAGGACCGCGCGGGCCCCGTGGGGCTGAGCCGGGAGGAGGAGCTGGCCGCGGTGCGGCAGGCGGAGCAGGAGGCCCTCATGGCAGCCCTGTGAGTGTTGTCCGCGCGGGGCGAGGCTCCGAGGCACCCCAGGGCCGGGAGGCACGGGGTGGGGATAAGGGTAGGCCCTACCTGAAGCGTGCCTTGGCCCCGTTGCAGAGGCTACAAGAATGTGAAGAAACAGCCCACCGGCCTGAGCAAGGAGGTGAGAGGCGGAGAAGCCCTGCCGGGGGAGGGGTTGAGCAGGAGAACCACGGAGGGCTGGGTGGGAGGTGGCCCTGGGGCTGCGACAGGCAGGACAGAGGACCTTGCCTACCTCTCCCCACAGGACTTTGTCGAGGTGTGTAAGCGAGAAGGAACTGATCCCGTGGACAAGGGTGTGGACCGGCTCGTGGGACTGGGGAGCTCCAGGTGCGTGGGCAGGGATGGGGGTGAGCTGTGGGGGGTCCTTCTGGGGACAGGCCTACCAGGACGGTGGTGAGTGCAGATGAAGGGTCTGACTCAGGTCGTCCAAGCTCAGCAGGCCCCAGAAACCCAGGTGCCCAGTGGATGCAAATGCGGGGACAGGGCTGCAGGGACTCCTGCCTGGGGTGTGGCTTGGCCCTTCTTCCACAGCCACATTTTCCCTGTGTCCTTACAGTGGCTCTGCAGGCCGAGTGGTGCTGTCCAGAGAAGACAAGGAGGCTGCCAAGCTGGGCCTGTCCGTGTTCACAGTAAAGTTCCTTTCCCCAAACATCCTGGGAACCCATACTGGCAAGGCTGAAGGGGTCTGGTTTCCCTTTGTGGTGTGGGCGGGAGGTAGGGCCTTATCTCTGGAGGATGCGCCCAGCCTCTGGACCTGGGCACCCGAGCTTGCAATGGTCTGCAATGATCATAGGGTTGCCCAGGCTCCCTCCAGCGCCCTTACCCAGTGTGGCTTTGGCTTTCCTTGGCAGCACCACCGCGTGGAAAGCAGTGGGGCTGGTGCCTCCCCAGCCTCGGCCAAAAAGAAGCTGCACTCCGAAGAGAAGGCAGAGCTGTGGTAAGGGTACACAGGCAACACGAGCATCTGACAGGACTCTGGGCTTAACGCCATACTCAAGATAGGAGTTTTAAGTTGGGCCAAGGCCATTTTCAGGCACATCACAAAGGGCCTCCCCAGCGGGAAAAGTTGGAGCACAAAATGGATGTTTCTTAACAAGTTCTGAGCCAGACTGGCTGCCCACCTGTGGGAGGGTGGTGGGTGCAGTGTCTGGGTGTGTCTGCTGTGTTCTGGGCTCCGCTTGTGCTCCTCCCTGTATTTCCCCTGGTTTCCTTGACACGTTGGGAGCTCTTCTGAGTTTAGACTGAAATGTCCCTAGACTTGAGATGGTCAAGTCACAGGTGTACTTGGTACAGCCCTGGGATGGGACTCTAGGTCCAGCAGTCAGGTGGCCGCCCCGTCATGAGGGCCAAGATCAGAGGGTAGTGCTCATGGCACAGAACCTGAGCTGAGCCTAGAGGGGCAGGAGCCTGGCTGCACCCAGCCCAGAGTTGAGGAAGAAAGGTCTCATAGGAGATGGGTGGAGGGTAGGCTTGGGAAAGGCCCTTTCCTGCCAAGCTTAACTCTGGTGCCTAATGGGTGCCAGGCAGCGTTGGGCTGGTCAGCAGACCTGCACTCAAGCAGCATGGAGGGTGGGCTGCATGCCGAAGATGTTCAGGGGAATGCTTAGTGGGAGAACACTGCTACAGTGGGTATGTTCTGCCCCCCCATGGTGCCCACTATGGAGTTGCTGGCCAGACTTTCTGTAAACAGTCTTGCATACCCACGGGGGGTGGGGTGGGGATGTCGCGCTTTGAGTCAGTATTAACTTGATGGCAGTGATGTTTGTCGACAGCTCAGGTGTTCTTTTCCATGTGGAGGTCCATCCTGGGAAGCTGAGCCCCCAAACTCCCATTAACAACAACTGCCCCCCCCCCCACACACACACACTGTATAACACTACTGTGAATAGGGACAAGCCCAGCTGTGGCAGCAAGGGTTGGGGCTTAGGGGTTTCATGCTCCCCCTTGCAGCTCTGAGAGCCACAAGAAAAGCAAGAAAGAGAAGAAGAAAAAGAAGAAGAAGAAACACAAGAAAGAGAAGAAGAAAGAGAAGCACCAGAAGAAAGAGCCGGCTGCTTCTTCAGAGCCTTTGTCCCCGGCTGGGTAGGCCCACCTACTGGCAGATATCTGGGTGGCTCAGGCAGGGGAACACAGGACTGTGGCATGCCCACACTTGTGTGGCAGTAGTGATGTGGGTCTTGGGGCTGTATGGTGTTAACAGCAGCCAGCGTGGCCTGCCTAAACTTGGGTGTGGGCTCCTAGTTACTGTGCTGGCCCAGGTGCAGTGCAGGTCCCCTCACCAGGCTGTCCCCGACCCTCCCATAGGCACGGACACCGCCGCCATGACTCTAGTTCCTCAGCCAGTGACCATTCTTCCCCCAGCAACAAGAGGAGGAAGTGGGGACACAGTGTATGCAGTGGGAAGAGCCCAGAGCCCCGGAAACGACACGACACGGACTCTGATGCCTGAGCCACATGCACCTGTTGACTGGCCACCTAGGGTTCCTGGTCTCTCCTCAGCCCACTTACTGCTAGGCTGTGGCCACTGGGCACCTCTGCAGCAGGGAAACTGCTTTTCTAGGATGAGGTTGTACCTTCAAACTGTCCCTCAGCCTGAGAAATGCAGGGTGGGAGACCTGCTATGTCAAAGTCATGCCAAGGCCCTGAGGTGGTCTGGTGAGTAAGTGTCCAGGCTGGGACAGTCCCAAGCCCAGCAGGTTCTGAGGGCTCAGGTCTTATCCCCACCAGTTGGCTGTACTGTGATGGCCTAGGTCAGCCCAAGAGAGACCTGCCCATCCTGGCAGACCAGATGCCTCTGCCCTCCACTGCAGCTCCCAGGTCTCAACTGCTACAGCAAATATTACTATTTTTCTTTACCTTGATTTACTTTTTAAATAAATTTATTTTGAAAGGGTGTGTACATTGCAGTAAATGGGGGCGCCTGGCATCATGGAACTTTTCTTTAATGTGGAGCCTTAAGTCATTCCATTGGTGGTGAATGGAGTTGATGTCTCCACATCAAACCTGCAAAGCCTAACTAGGTCCCTCCTCCCTACCACTGTGGGCTCACTCCGCTGGAAGTAAGTTTTCATAGACAGTGGGGGAAACACGATGCACCAGAGGATACTGTTGGGAACAAGATGGAGACAGGTGAGAATGAGGACGGGGTTAGGCGCAGCCCCTGCCCGGCCTGGGGGAGAGTGGCCTAAGGGTATATGTTGTTGCAGCAGCAGGAAGGCCTCTTCTGCACTCCCTGCAACTGTGTGGTTGGCTCAACATAGGGCAAATTTACAAAATGTACTCGATTGCCTTGGCAAAAAGATAAATGTAATCCAAGCTTGATTCGTGTTAGTTTTTGCTTCAGATATAGAAAAACAAAATCCATTTTCTTTCTTTTAGAGGAATAAAAAAAATGTTGGTTCCTGTTAAAGCCAAGGCCCTGGGCCATGCCCACCAGTTAAGTGTCATTGTCAGCAGTGCCCAGACGGGGATGGGCCAGCGGACTTTGCTGGTGGTGAGTTTGTGGTTCCACCAAGTTGTATGACATCATTGGGTGTGCCCTATCTACCCTCTGCATGCCCACCCCCCCGGCAGGTTTTTCACCTCTAGAGGGATTGGCACGGTCTGCAGTACTGAGGGAACCTCCTGAAGTTGATCCAGTACCTTGGATGCTACTGAGCCTGGGACAAGGACCAGGAAAATGATGTCCAGGGTGGAGCCCTGAACAGTGGCCACCCCAAACCCATAGGGCCACTTCCCAGACCAAGTAAAATGAGCTGTGGAGGTTACTCTTGCCTGTACCTCACACTCCACACCTCCCAGCCTTAACAACCCTTGCCCTGGCTTGGTCAGGAAAGGTAATGGTGCACCAGTCCCAGGCAGCAGGATGTGCCCACCAGACGACTTCCACGAGGCCTCAGGAGTGCAGCTGCAGACTGTGATGCTAGTTGTGCTGGCAGGACCTCTGACTTGCGGTTCACAGGCCACACGTCGGCAGCCATTTGAGAAAGTCACCACTGCTGGGTCAGACCTTCCTCTAGGGCCATGCCTAACTTGCCCCATAGCTCCCCTATCTCCACCCTCATGAAAGGTACCCGCCCGCCCCCCCAGGAGGCTCTGGTAGTGTAATTAAAAGCAGCATCACGGGTGCCAGGACCTGAGGCTTAGAGAGTCACTCCCTTGGTCCATTGGGCCCTCATAGCCAGGCCAGTAGCTGAGGAAGAGGAAGGAATGGTCGTCATGGGGGTGGCCAGGTAAGCAAAGGGATCCACTGAGGGTGATGACGTGAAAGAACAGGGAGGAAGAGGCCACGTCACCCATGACTTAATCGAGAGTCATCTCCTGGCTTGGCCCCCAGGCCTGGCACCTTCCTTCTCTGGGACTCCAGACTTCCCTCACCCCACCCCTCTCCTGCTCCTATCACCTGCAGGACACCACCAACATCAGCAGGCACCTTGCTGAATTCTAGAGCAGACACAGCTGGAAGCTAAAGGCCACTGCAGTGACTCCCTGGCGCTGGCCTGCCAATCCATTCAGCCTGGTGGATACAGACAACTTTGCGCATGGGTGCACGCACACGCTTCTAGTTCCAAGCCCAATGCCATCAAGATGTTTCTGACTCACAGCCACCCTACAACAGAGTAGAGCTGTCCCTATTGGTTTCTGAGACTTGTAAGGCCTATGGTGGGGCACATAGCTGGTGTGTGTGTGTGCGCACGCAATTGAGTGAGGACAGATGAGGGGAGGGTGCAGAGGTCTGCGGACTTTTGTATTTTGAATATGAAAATAATTTCTTGTACTCTGCTCGTTTTTCTCCGAGCAGCGTGCCAGGACCGATGCACTGAAGAGCTCATGAAATAGTTAAGAGATTTTATTCTAATACCTATAATTACAGTGCTTGTTTGTCGAAATGAAAACTGAAAACAAGTATACAAAACATTTGATTACTAATTGTGTATTGAAAGCAGTAAGAGGTTCCACGACACCAAATAAACCAGTTCTGAGGGATTTTCCCCCCCGAAGATAAAATTTAACAGCTCCAGCTTCTTCAGTGTTTATCAAAATACAAAAGAAAAAAGTGTAGAGGTTGTCTTTTCTCGCTGGCAAATCTGACCCTTGCAGGATGAGGGAGTGGAAGCTACTTCACACATGTACAGACAGGGGTGCTCCAACGGGCTGTGCGCTCTAGGTGGAATGCTCCCAGCTTGCACACTCCTGTGGGAGGGAGGAGGCCGTGCGTGCGCCCTGGGAGCCTGCTGCTCTTGGCCAAGGTGTCTAAGTAAGCACGGGGAGTACTGGGGCTCTCTGCTCTGGTAAGTGGTCACACAAAAGCACCACACACCTGACCAGAATAAAAGGTTGGTGGTTCCTTGCTTCTAAATCGAGAGCCGAAAGGCTGCTACCCATGCTATGGCCAGCTGCAGAGGTTCCCGCTGTGGGTCCTTTGAGTGGCCAGCATGAGTGGCCCAGCCTGATGAAGGGGTCTAGGGCCCAGCGGTCCAACAGAGGGCCTGCTGTGCTCAGATGGTAGCTGGGGCCAAGCACAGCCTCAAAGCCTGTTTCCTTGGTAACCGTGTGAGCACAAGTACAAGCACAAACTATGAAATACGGGATGATCCAAAGACAAAGCGTAATTACAGGGATCTCTATTGTGACCATGCAAAATTGATCGCGGGTTTGTTTTTGTCACCTTCTCTCACGTTCCCAAAGGGAAACACAGACGATTGGATGGACTAGTACTCAGGTTGTTACTGTAAAACCTTCATTAGGCATATTTCTCCCTTCGGTGGGTTCAAGTGTTCTCCTTTTATTTTTAGCTACTTTTAAAAAATGCACTGAGCTCAGTCAGGTTAAAAACCAACCACCACAATGGATCTCAACACAGGTCTCAGGCCAAGAGGGAGGGCACTTGGCTCTTCTAGCACAGTAACTCCTGGGAGGAGCCCAGGGCCAGTGTGTGGAAATCCCTTCTCAGTACAACAGTGAGTTGATTTTTCTTTTTTTACAATAAAAAAAGCTGAGTAATATTGCATAGGAGTACCAGAAACTGCCTCATTGGAAACAAAAACTATTTACATTAAATAAAAAACCTGTTTGCAGGCTGCGTCTGCCACATTTACAGCATGGTGCATACACACTGTGACCAAACCCATGGAGACAGCTTCTGGCACTCGACACCACAGAGCCGCACAGTTTGCCACATGAGAGTAAAGCAGAGGGCGGAGAGAAGGAGGAGGAGGGAGAGGAGGCAGAAAGGGAGGAGGACCGGTCTCGGCTCATTTCTGGTTTCGGAGCTGATTGGACAACCAGTCCAGTCCTTCATAAAGCCCGTCTCCACTGGTGGCACAGGTGGCCTGAATGTACCAGTTCCTGTGGCGCAGGGAGTGCAGTCCCAGTTTATCTGTGATCTCAGCGGCGTTCATGGCATTGGGAAGGTCCTGGAGAGAAAGATGATAAAACAGGAGTCTGCATGAGCAAGCGGCACATATCAGGGTTGTCAACTCGCCATAGGGGAAGAGGTGCAGTTTGCACACTCCATCTGAGCTCATCACTTCAGTTTGCCTAATGTCATAAGAGAACAATCACTATCACACAGGATGGCGAAGTGAGTCAGATCAAAGGATGCAAATAAGAGTATTTGCTACTGATGACATCCTACTCCCTGGGCAACCCTGCTAGATCACCCCCTTACTGCATCGGCCTCTCTGTGGGCTGCTGAGGAACTTGCCCAGGGCATACCTGCTTGTTAGCAAACACTAGTAAGACAGCGTCCCTGAGCTCGTCTTCTGCCAACATCCGCATAAGCTCTTCACGGGCCTCATTCACCCGCTCCCGGTCATTGCTGTCAACCACAAAGATCAAGCCTACAAAGCAAGCAGGGATTAGTGCAAAATACTGGAAACTCACTCCACCCAGCTTCGTTTGCAGGCAATACAACCCGACTTCTGAAATTAGAAACAGGAAAAGTTTGGGGCTGAGGAATGATTTCCATTGGCCACCACTGGACCCAGCTCAAGGGACTTGGTGGAAGAGCAGTAAGGGCCTCCTGACTGCTGCCTGTGCTGGGAGGATCTCAGTGTGACCACCCTCAGGTATCCCACATGAGCTGTGGATACTCCAGACTGCCCAAGGAGGCCTCCAGGATGCAAGCCCCTACCCCCGCCCCACCCTCGTCTCCAAAATGGCAGTGGCATCTCCTGGTGGTGAGAGACATAGTACAGGCAGCCAGCAAAACAGGGAGCAAGCTGGGGTCTCCCTGGGATTTTTTGAGAGGACATGGGTCTGAGTGGCTGCCTGATTGAAAAAGAGAAGCCTGCTGTGGGGAAACCACTGAGCCCAACATTGGGATTCCCAGGACGGTAGTTAAAGAATGTATGGTCTGTTTCTCATCTGTGAAATCAGGAAGACACAGCCAGAGAGTGGTCACACTGTGTGCCTCTGGGCCCAGTGGCCCTACTGGCTCAGGCCCAGCTGCTTACCTTGCGTATTCTGGAAGTAGTGGCGCCACAGGGGCCTGATTTTATCCTGGCCGCCCACGTCCCACACGGTGAAGCTGATGTTTTTGTACTCAACAGTTTCCACGTTGAAACCTGAGGAGCAAGAGATTGGAAGGTGAGCGTCTTGTCTGCCCTTCTATGCTGGAGCTGTTGCAGTTATAAAGACATGTGCTCATCTTCTGAACAATGGACCTGCCTACCCACAGAAGGCTCAGAAAGGGCTGGCAGGATGCCCTGAGGATCTCATTGAATGAGTGGTGGCAGCAGCAGTCAAGGCCTTGCTGTTCCCTCATGCCCTACAAGAAGGTTCCTTCTTCCCTACTGGCTCCAATCCTCGCCTTAAGCAAAGCCATTTCCTGAGCCTGCTGGCTTCTCCTGCTGCTGTCACTGGACCAAGACCTCCAAAGTTATTCCAGATGGCAACGTGCCCTACTGGAAGAAAGGATAGGTTTGCATGAAGGGCTGGACTTCTTACCTATAGTAGGAATAGTGGTTACTATTTCACCAAGCTTCAGTTTGTATAGAATAGTAGTCTTTCCTGCAGCATCCAGGCCAACCATGAGAATGCGCATTTCTTTTTTGCCAAAAAGGCCCTTGAAGAGGTTAGCAAAAATATTCCCCATGCTTGCAGGCTGGTAAAATCAACACTGGCCAGAGACACCTGAAAAGACAAGAGTTTCCATGGATTTCCAGCACAGCACTGCATAAGCAGTTCAGAGGCCACCCACTTAAAGACATGTCCACATACTGTGTTACCTACCTTTCGGAAGCTCACAGCTCAGGATATCACACTATCCAAGTTCCCAAGCAATAGAAAAAATGAACACTGAATATTAAGCTATTCAATGAGTTGTCCCCAAATCAGTTTATAATGGACAGTTCAGAAATCCTAAGAAACCAGAGACAAACTTTTGATGAACCAGAACTGGATTTCCAAGTTCTATCAAATATGTTGTTCAATGAATCACACCCATAACATACACTTAATGATAAAATGTTTGCTGCTTGAAAACTGTTGCTTTCTAATGAATGTTAGATTTTCTCTATGTTCTAGCAGACATTTTCTAGGGGCCACAAAGAACCCAAAAGAGCCTTTGGCCAATCAGAGTCCCAACCTGGACACATAGGAGTGGAGTGGTGTCTCCCTGTTGCACAAAAGGGAAGCCTGCTGCGGGAAACTACAAGATTTCACTCAAGTGCCATTTGGCTCAGAGACGGGACCTCTAGCTTCCCGAGAGCACACTAGGAGACATCAGTCTAAGCATATAGACCTAACTCCTCTGCTCAAGACCCAGCTCACCAAAGCCTGGGAGGGCGCCACACCAGAATGCCTTTGTTCTATAAACCACCAGGGCAGTAATTCTACAGGACAAAGCAGGGTGTGCAATGGCATTCTCACCAGTAGATGGAGTCTCTACTATCATGCCCACCCCTGCTCCCCTCCATTTCAGTATAGGTCACTTAAGGGTTCCTCATGGCAGCAACAGACTCCTTATCCCAGGTTTACACAGGACCAAGCACAGCTGGTTTGGCCCACACTATTATTGGTTTTACTTAACACAACAGAAACCCTGGGGCACAGACCACACTGGCCACCACTACTTTATCAGATATTGGGTTTGAGACTCACTGCCACGTGGGGAAAGTTGGACTTGAGGGAGGAGTCACCAAAACTCAGAGGCCCATGGTCCTGTGGCCTCCTGCTCTGGACACTTAAGTGTAGTCACTCTGTGACACTTTCATCCTTCAAATGTATTTTGCATCCTTTGTCCAACAAACAGGAACTTTAAGAAAAATTGGTTGTTTTTTCAAATGCTGAATGCTTCCAATGTTACCATCGAAAAGTTCACTGAACAATGAGTACTACTCAGCTATAAATAAGAATGAGGGTGTTTTTGTTTACATACTGATAATAGCAGTGGCTCTCAACCCCTTTGGGGGTCGAACGACCCTTTCACAGGGGTCGCCTAAGACCACGGGAAAACACATATTTCCGATGGTCTTAGGAACTGAGACACTGTTCCTCTGTCTCCAGGCGGGCCCGCCCACATGCAGATAAGCCCACATAAGATGATTTGGCATGAAGAAGACTTTCCCATGCTACACCAGGCTTCAAGACAAAATTTCATTTATTTGTAATTAGAAATAAATGTTTCACAATTACATAGGTTTTGTGATTAATCACTATGCTTTAATTATGTTCAGTTTGTAACAATAAAAATACACCCTGCATATATCAGATATTACATGACGATTCATAACAGTAAGCAAAATTACAATTATGAAGTAGCAACAAAAATAATTTTATGGTTGGGGTCAAGGGTTGCGGCATTAGAAAGGTTGAGAACCACTGTGCTATAGAAAACTACTTAAAATGTGCATTAAGTAATTTTTCTAAAAGTGCAAAAAAGCATAAGAGTTTCTTTGGAAAATTACTTGTACTTAAATTATCCATATACAAACACACTTTGGAAGACTTGATATAAAACTATTCCCAGGGCCTGGGGAAATGGGTAGCTAGTTCAGCAATCAGTTAGGAAGGAGACTTTTTACTTCAAACTCGGCCAGCCTTCCCTGGTGGTTGCTTTTGTAGAGAGGTCAGTCAGCAGCTGGTTCCCTGTGACAGGCTACAGGTTCTGTATCTTGGGCACACCAAAGGCTACCGTGCTTTCCTCACTGCATCTCACCCAGTGGAGTGGGGATTGATATTTTCCTCAAGACTGGCATTCCTCTTTAATGACTTGTGACATTTGCCATTGTGATACTTGCCAAGTGGGGCCTTTCTATTTTAGCCATTCCTCCTCCGGTTATGTTATTTACTATACAGGAACACTGCCCCCCGCCCCACCATTTACTTATTTGGCATTGCTACCAGCACGGACTCATGAGTTCCCGTTGCACTGCAATGCATTGCATGCCACAGTCAGTCATCATCACTCCTGAGGATGTGGAGGTGCCACTGGTCCACACTTGGCCAGTGGAATCCCTCTGAGTTGGCATCAGTGCCCCTTTGACACCTTATCTTTTGGGTTTTAGATCATATTACATGTTCAAAAAATTAAATGAACTTTAAAATTTAAAAAGATCTTTTACCAGACCATTCTCTTTTCTAGAAAAAGCCAACTTCCCCAAAGCAAAGATTAAAAAATTCTTAATAAAAAACAGGGCAGTGAGCACACTCATTAATCTCAGTTCACTCCTGAAATCAGTAAAGAAATAAAATACAGAAACCATAACCATTTGAGATAAAAGGAGCAGCAGTGGCCTAAGGACAAAGTTCAGAAGGGTTAAGAAAGGAGTGACAACAGGAAACAGAGGGAGGAGGAGGAAAAGGTAGCATGAGTATTGTTATAATCCCTAATGGGATTATAACGAATGAGATGAAGCAAAATATGTATGAATTGTTGAATGCAAAGCTGACGGTCCATTTTCATAAACACAAGTTTCAAAAAAACAGAACAAAATTGGGTGAAGTGGGGACTGGAGAACACAAATTTTGTAATGTAATGCATGACTGGGCAGAGGAAGCTGGACTCTGACCCCTGAAGAGGCAGACCCACATGAGAAGCAAGCTTGTGGTTAGCACCCGAAACTTTTAACCCATTTAACCCAAGAAACCACCTGACAGGGGCTACCCTGAAAAAACCAACAAAGCCCACAGCCAAGGAAGGGTCAATCCAAATTCATAGTGATCGGGGTGTTTTAAATCCACATGTAACCAATGAAAGGAATTATCCTTAGGAAGCAGGCAGGGCAAGAGGTTGAGAGGAGCCGTACTGCTGTTTACATTTTTGTTGTTGTTGTTTTAGCTTAGAAGTATGTTCCTAAAAGTCAACATAAAATGTAGGCAGGAGAAATGTAGTCTCACCAATCCCCACATCAGATAGACAGAAAAGTCTCTGTGTAAACAGTGTCTAGTTGCAGGGGCTGGACTGCAAGCTGGATCCCCACCACCACACATGGTTGAAGCACAGCCACAGCATTTGATGCAGAAATCTGAGCGTGCTTTCTACTTAGTGTGTCCTTGACAATACCTTTGAATGGCAACCCCCAAATTTGATTGTTTGCGCCTGTCCCTGGGCTACTCCCACCCCACCCCCACCTGTTAAAAAAATAAAATTATATGTAAGACAAAGAATTAGAGCCAATTTACTTGTTCCATGACAGAAATTTGTTCCCTGGCTTTTGGAATGTTGATGAGGGTCTTTTTCTTTCTTACTCATCATTTGTATTTTGGTCTTTATTTTATTATTTTATCCATACCACCTTATTTTGATTTTGTTTTTTATTGTTTCTGTGGGATTTCCCGGTTTGTGGCCCACAGGAGGGCTGGCTGCATAGTGGGGGTGGGGGTGATAGGAGCTGCAGGAGTGGGAAATGAAGGCGGGAGTGGGAAGGGAGCACTCAAACTGACTGTGAGTACACAACGCATTTTAAAGGCAACGTAATCAAGATGGTGTGCGTGTTCTAAGATTGATAAAGTAATGATTGTATGATTCTCCTTCATATGATTGAACAGTTAAACTACTGAATTGTATGGTATGTAAATTATATGCCAATAAAAAAAACAAACATTAGAGACCAAAGAGGCAAACATGGATAGTTAGTGGTCGGCCCAGAATATCAAGATAAAAATTCCTTAAATTTGAGACAAAACAGTACTGACCACTTGGCCTCTTCACTTAACACAGGCTTCTGTAGACACCAGCAACATTGGTCAGAATTCCTCGCGGGTTTTGACTGTTAACTCCGCACGAGTTGTGCTCAGTGTGGACTTCTACAACAGCAGGATATGAGTGGTTCATGCCGTCATTGCACAGCAAGGGAAAATAGACCCAGGGCCCCAGGGTAAAAAGTTCAACAGTGACAACCTTAGCTGCATCTACAGCCTCTGCACAGGTTGGAGCTTGTTGTATAATAATGCCCAACCCAGGGGCTATTTCACCCTTTCCTCCACACACTTCAGTCAAAACCTGTTTTTCAGGTTCACCTTGAATATCCTATGTATTAGTAAGCAGTAAAAAGTCCTTTTCAGAAAAGCCTGTCAGTTTGGGCAAGGCATCCTGAACAACTCTTAATTTAGAGTCAAGACTAATAACGTATTTAACAATTTATTCCGGTTTCCTGTGATTGAAAGTTCTGACCAGATTGTTTTCCATGCCTGGCAGTGTCCTGTGATCTCAAGATATAGCCAGACTATAAAGTCTCTCTCTGCTTTTGGCTAAATTAATCTGGAGAAAAGGGGTGATAAAAGAGGTCCCTTAGGGATGTTACCCTCTCCTCCCCAAGGATCAGCTAACAATGACAAGTGTCGCTTTTAGGAATTAAGCAAATAATAATATAGTGAAGACTGTGAGAGTCAGAAAATGGGACTGTCTTGTTTGTTCTGCTTTTGAACGTTTCCACTTTTAGCAGGTACAGTCTTACCACCCTTTCCTTCTCTGACAGGTTTTTCATACCCGAGTCCTGGCTTTCACAGATTTTATTGTACATCAGCTCCTGCAAGGGGGGCTGTGAACAAGGATAGCAATCAAGGTCAGAGGACCTGGGGAAGAAGTAAACTGCCTGTCTCTAGAATAGTGTCACACAAACTGGAAACAGGCTTAGAAGAAGAAAAAAGCTAGCTTTGTGAGTTTACACCAGTTCTACTTGAATAAATGAATCCAGCGGAACATGTTTAACTG